CAGCGCATTGGATCCGCAGATGCGCCGCGGCTCTTTGTAGCTACGAATTTCCGAGCTAAGCGCGGCGGGGGCCCGACGGCGGCAGCCTCGGCCATCGCGGCCGCGTGCATGACCAGTTCATAACGTTCAATCACGTCAATTAGAACTGCCACGCAGTGCTGGTCTGTGCGCCCGGCAATCTCACCCCCTAGATTGCGCGCGAGAGGACTGTCGTGGCTCGACCTGCCTGGGCTCGAGGCCCATCGAACCTCGCTGCGATTGCCCCCTCCCGCGCCACCGACGCCGGCCCCCGCGCCCTTCCCCGTGCCCTCGCGAGGGCATGCGCGAGGGCTCTTGGCCGATGCTTTCCTGGCTTGTCGGACTTGGGCGACCTGGCGAGCTCGGTGTCCACGCGCCGACGCGGCCGGCGCCCTGGCCCCCCACGCTGCGCGATCAAAAAAGCAACCGCTTCCAGGGCGCCGCGAAATGCGAGGAGCGAGCCTGCCAGGGCCGACTTCGGGAGGGGGGGGGAGAGAGAGAGAGAGAGAGAGAGAGAGAGAGAGAGAGAGAGAGAGAGAGAGAGAGAGAGAGAGAGAGAGAGAGAGAGAGAAAGAGAGAGAGAGAGAGCTGGCGCGCGGCCGCCCGCGCATTTCGGTAGGAGATTTGGCGTCAGCCCTGGTAAGCTCCCCCCCTCCGTGGGCAGGCCCAGGTTCCAGAGCCCGTGCGTGGCCCAAAATGATGGCCCAGTCGCCCAAACAACTACCGATCATTTCACAGGGCCGGTTGCCTGAGCGAGCTGTCTCAGCCTGCTGACGGGCCTCGGCCTTACTGAACCTGCGTGCACTCGAGGCCCCTCGGACGAAGCTGGTCTCGACCCAGGCCTTCCATGACTTCGGTCCTTCGCAAAAGAGGCCAGCATGCTTTCACCTCGGCGAATCATCCAACCCACCATGCCGCGAAAGCTATCATCGAGGAATACAATGAGCGCGCGACAAAAAGGGCCTCGCGCATGGGCCCACCGCCTCGAACACCCACTGCCGCCTCAGGGCGCACCTGAAGAACGCTGCGGCGTCGCGCAGCAGCGCGCCCGCATTGGGAAGATTTGGGCCCACTTCCAAGCCAGATTCCTTGTTGGCCATGCTCTGCGGCGTCCCGTTGGGGAGGCACTTGCTGACTCTTCGCAGATGTCTGGCTCAGCTGGCCGCCGCTGCCCAGGGGTCGCGGAGGTTCCGCGCGCTGGAGGGCGATTGCGTGCAGGGTGCTACGCCACCCCAACCTCCCGGGACATGCGCGTCCTGTCTGCGCGCGGCATGCGCCGCCCACGCTGTCGCGCCGCCCGCGCAATTCGCGCTTGATGCACTGAAGCGCGGCATCCAAGCCTTGGCGCAGATCGTCGATGCAAGCCGCATCGTCTCGCGCGCGTCTATCCACGTCCAGGCGGGCAGTCGGGGGGAAACGTGGCTTGACCCCCGCGCCAATGGCTTTCGGTTCCCATGGCGCCAGCAACAGCAACGTGAGTACCAGGGGCGATTGGATCTTGCTCAGGGGCCTTACATCTACCCCGACGTAGGTAAGATTGGATCATGGAAGTTTCTGCCTGCGCGTTGTCGCCGTCGAGGTGATCCGCGCAGCGCCGACGCACGTTTGAACTGCGGCTCCAGCTGCTGCGGGGACGCGTTGAAATCTCCACCGACAACCCACGCGCATCCATTGCTGGCCACGTCAAGAACATAGTGCTCAACGACGCGCAGGAGCCCCAAGTTGGAGTCGCCCAGCCTGGCCGAGTCTGCCACGAACCCTCTGGCGAGGCCCCAGTGAAAGTGGCCTGCCGACGCCCTGCCATGCACCCTGTCCGACGGATAATGCGGGCAGTCGTCGCGTACGTGCCTATCTTGGAAAGAACAGCGCACTCGCCTTGAGGCCCACCACTTGCTGACTGAACAGCCTCGATCCAGACTCCATGGTAGCCCTGGCCGCGGCCCCTCTGCCGCAGGGCCGCCACTTTCCCCGCGCCAGCGCGGTGCCCCGGAACCAGCGCCACGACGTTGGCGAAGGCCTCGTTCACCAGCAACGCCTCCAGCTCGCCGTGGGGCGACGCATTGGCGGTGGAGACGCGCCCCTCGACGATGGCGACCTCGGCGGCCTCGGGCGGGACATCGGCTAGGCCATCAGGCCTGACGCCGCCAGCGTCAGCAGATCAATTTTTTTCCATTGGGCCAGGGCCCCAAGACACCATCGGGGGGCCCTGTGCGAGCCGACCGCTTGTCCCCGGAGGTTCCAGCGACATTCGCAATGTCAGGTGCCTCTCCTGAGGGAGCCGAACTGAGAGGGCCGAACTCGCGCGACTACGTCGGCCCGCCGCGAGGAGGCGCTCTGGCCGTGCAGCGGTCCTTTACCCCTTCCGCCACCACGCAGGGGAGGTCTTCGTATACCAAGGTAGCCAGCCTAGCATCCTCCAACTGCTGCCCCGCGCTGGAGGCCGAGCAATACTGTGGCGACGCTAAGCCCAAGGCGCCGTGCCAAAGCTGTGGCGCCTGAGACCAGCGATCTAACGCCTGGCAAAACGTAGGCGATGTGATGCGCAGAGCTCTGCGCCGAAGCTGTGTCACCTGGGATTTGCGCTCTGGACCAACGCTGACCTCCAACTCCTGCTAACCGAAGGCTGTCGTAATCATTATCTGACGTGACATCGCGACACCACCGGCGCCTCGCTCGCGGCAGCGCGCGTGCATTGGCGCTTGGCGAAGCTTGGCAGGTCGTCGCAGCACTTCTCGGCCGCCTCTCGCAACTTCGTTTATTCCTCTGGCCGGCGCCGCGACCCCCATGGCAAGGGCGCGCGGGGCCGCCTCGCGCACGCGCCCCGCTGCTCTGTGCAGATCCATTGCCGCCTACTCGTCCGCCCCGAACGTGCCTGCCCAGGACCTGCACCATCTGTTCGACAGAAATCAGGCTGCTCGGGAACACCTCTTCCAACAACGCCTGGGTGCCCTCGACGACCGCGGTGGGCTGTAGGAGCTGCGTAGCAACCTTGGCCCTCTGAGCTTCCAGCGCCGCGATCTCCATCTGAATGGACCTCGACACCTTGGTGACCTCCTGGTGCTGGGCTCGCAGCTCCCGCATCTTGACCTAGAACATCTCAAGAGCCTCCCGCTTGGTCTCGTCCTTGCGCTCCAGCGCCAGGATTTGCTGCGACATGCGCTGAATCTGCACCGGCAGCGGCATCTGGCCCATCAGTTTCGCTCGCAGCTCGGTCGACTCCGCTGCACATTGTTCGCGCAGTTGCCGTGCTCCCCCCGACGAATCCGACGCATGTTCGACGCCATCAAGGAGCGCCCGCAATTCAGTGGTCCTATTCGACTCAACTTCTGCCTCGAGCTGCGCACCGCTCTTGTCGATCTCCTGCCAACTGGTCCGCTTACGCGCCAGTCCGACCCCGCCCTTGTCGCCCGAAACACCTGGACCTTCCGACTTGGACGGGCTGACTGGCACTCAGGAGGAATGATATGACGTCCCCCTCCGTCTTGGGCACATTTTTCTCGCAAGCACTTCGGCATAGTGCCACCACCTGTCTCCACGAGTCGGGTGCCAGCAGAAGCGACAGTACCACGGTTTCGCCCACGCGATGCGTTCCTCTTTGTGCCCGCTGGACGGCAACATGCTGACGTCACCGCCGTCTGTGCCACGATGTTTCTCCAGGAGCTTAATGAGAATGGAAGCTCGCAGCCTGGAACGGGTCAGGCCGAGCAAAAGACTTGGAAGCTAGCCGCGAAATAGCGATATGCTTTTCACTGTCGGGGACAGGCTGCGGATGACAGAAAACATGATGATGGTGGTGGTGGTTATGAAGATGATGAGGTTGATGTTGGTGATGATGGTGGTATGGATGATGGTGATGATGGTGATAATATTGATGATGCTGATGTTGTTGATGATGAGGTTGATGATGTTGATGATGATGATGATGTTGGTGATGATGATGCTGATGATGATGTTGGTGATACTGCTGATGCTGATGGTGATGATGATGCTTATGCTGATGATGCTTATGATGATGATGATGATGATGATGATGATGATGATGATGATGGTGGTGATGATGATGATGATGGTGATGATGGTGATGATGGTGATGATGGTGATGATGACGAGGAGGATGATGAGGATGATGGTGGTGGTGTGATGACGATGATGATGGTGATGATGATGGTGATAATGTTGATGATGCTGGTGTTGTTGATGATGAGGTTGATGATGTTGATGATGATGATGTTGGTGATGATGATGATGATGATGTTGGTGATACTGCTGATGCTGATGGTGTTGATGATGCTTATGCTGATGATGCTTATGATGATGATGATGATGAGGAGGAGGAGGAGGAGGAGGATGAGGATGATGGTGATGGTGTGATGACGATGATGATGGTGATGATGGTGGTGGTGATGATGATGCTGGTGATGATGATGATGATGATGCTGATGATGATGACGATGATGATGATTATGAGGAGCCAGAAGAGTTTGCAGGAGGAGGAGGATGAGGAGAACAATGTCAACTACACATTGGATAATGAGGTCGTGGGGAGCAGCAGTAAGAGCAGGGCTTGGGACATGAGTGGGAGCAGGAGGCAGGATGAGGACGAGAGTGTGTTGCGAGAGGTTGGGCGAGCGAGATCGAGTGGGCGGGCGAGGGGAGAGGGTTTGTTCCCTCACCTCCTCCCTCCCCTCCTCACTCCTCCTTCCTCGCCTCCTTCCTCGCCTCCATCCTCGCCTCCTCACCTCCGTCCTCGCCTCCTCATTCCTCCTCGTCCTCGAGGGCACAGCCATAGCGGCGAGCGGTGAGGAGCGCTGGCGACAGGCACTGTCACCTTGCACACGGCATGCCACCTTCGTAGTCTCTGCAGCGCGACATTGCCTCGAGGTCGACTTGTTGTTGTTGGCCTCCCCCCGCTCCTTGCAGGGAATGGGGACAGGGAGCCGCGAGCCCTCGCGCCAGCCTCGGCCTTCCCCCCCCGCCGCGAGGTCGGAAAGAGCATCCTGACCGACACGCTCGCCAAGGCGGCCGCGAACACGGGGGCCTACATAGGCTCGGACCTCCCAGCGCACGCCCGCCGACGCCGCTGCCGTTATCGTCGTCGTCGGCGTCGGCGTCGTCGCCGCGCGCCATCGCCGCTGCCGCCGCGGTCGTCGTCGTCGTCGTCGCGGCCGTCATCTTCGCGCCACTCCTTCGCACTGTCTTTCTCCTCCTCGCCTGCCTTCTTCTGCTCCCCCTCTTCCCCTGCCTACCTCCTGCGGTGTTGCATGTACTGGCGCCGAATTGCCGCAATCGGGTTACGCAATGTGTCGGAGGGATTGTCACGGCAATCTGCAGTCTAACTCCGCTTACTCGGCGAGGTGCATCCTGGCATTAGCGTTATTTCCCTCTGGCCGCAGATTGCCCGGCTGTGCTGGAGCCCAGGTCGTGAATCAGGAGTGGTGTACGCATACATTCATCGGTCACAAGCACACATTGTCCTTGCTTGCAGAAGCCAGGTTATTCCCATATGATGTGTCATCAGTTCTTTCGGATCTGAGGTGACTGCTCTGCAGACCCACAGGGCACAGGCAGTGCGGGTGCAGAAGTGGATCCTGCGGCTTGCCATTGCTGATCCTCCTCATCATCCTACTCGCCGTCGCCGTTCCCTTAACTCCACGTCCTCCGGCTACGCACATTTCACCAGCGGCAGGCTCGAGTGACACGCCGGAGTCTGCGCAGAACCTGGCGACGCACGGGTTCCTGCGCCCCACTGCCAAGCCGCACCCCACCGGGACGCCGGGCTTTGTGTGCTTTCCTCTGCCGCTCCGCTCGTGGCACGCACCGTACAAGTAAGCCTAGGCTGAGGACAAACTGCTCTAGGGCGTTCCGGAACGCTCGTGGAGCGTTCTAGAGCTCTCTACATCGGTCGCGGCGCCCGGGTTCGTTCGCCGGCTCAGTTTCCCGCTCTGTTTTCATTTGAACTCATCCCCATCTTGCCTTCATCTTGAGCGTCAGTCAATCGCGGCGCTCCTGGCCGCACGCTCCGCCAGCCTGTTCTCCACCCAGCCCTCCCCGACCTCACCCTCTAACCTCCCCTGCCAGTCGCCCTGCCTCCCCCTGCAGTGTTCCGGCAATCGCAGCGCCTCATGCTCCACTTGGTGGTCTCCAAACCAGGTGGTGAGACACCCGGTGGTGACCCCGATTCCCCAAAGAAATAATTTTGGGTCACCACCGGGTTTGGGGACACGCGGTCGCCACGAGGTTTTGCGTTTCCTGGGCCAGCCAGCGCTCGAAAACCATTACCCAAATCGCCCAAAACTCACCACCGGGTGTTCTCACCACCACGTTTGGGGACCACCAATCCACCAATCTATTCTCCACACCGTCCTCCCAGACCGCACCCTCGAGTCTTCCCTGCCAGTCGCCCTTCCACTCCCTGCAGTATTCGGGCAATCGCAGCGCCTCCTGGCTTTGCGCTCCACCAGTTTGTTCTCCACGCTGGGCTCACTCACCTCACCATCAATCCTTCCTTGCCAGTCGCCATTGGAGGGTCCTGTGCTCCCACGGCTCGCTTGCCCGAGAAGGCCTCTTGGAAACTTCCGATCCCTTCCCCTGCCTTCCTCGGAGGCTACCCTCTCCACCCTGCCTGCCCCTCCTGCGCGCCCCGCCAGCATCTGGCTCTGCGATCTGCCTACCCACATCTGCCCCCCTCCCCATGTCAGCAGGAGAAACCTGTGTACCGGCACCATGCCCCCCGGTGAGTCAACGATTTCCGGGTTCGGGGAGAAGGAGGGGGAGGGATAGGAAGCGGGAGGGAAGGAGGATGAGGAGAATGCCCAGAAGGAGGACGAGGACGAGAACGGAGGAGGGGATGGTAGGAGGAAGGGGGAGGAGGAGGAGGAGGAGGAGGAGGAGGAGGAGGAGGAGGAGGAGGAGGAGGAGGAGGAGGGAGCGGACGACGACGACAACCAAGATACAACGATGACGAGGATAATGACAAAGAAGGTGGGTTGTTGACAAATCCTCCTGCAAGGTACGCGGGGATTTGTACACCACGCCTGTCCCTTGGAAGTCGTCTGCACCCTTCTGGAGAGGATGGGCTCGACGCAGAGCGCGAGGAAGGTGCAAACGTTTCCGAACACGTGTGCATGCAGGCCCCACTTCGTTCCTACGTTCCGATCGGCCCACTGCGGTACGTATCGATTCGGGTCGGCTCCTTCCGAGTCGGTTCTGCTATCCCGGCTATCCAATGCGGCCCGAGGTCCGCACGGTGCCGTTATGCCTCTCGGCGCGGCCGAGCCGGGTCGACTCCGACTCCGTGCCGATGCGCCCCGATCGGGCGCGCGCTCCGATCCGAGCCGATCTCCCGATTCGGTGCCGACCCGCCTCTTGGCATCGCTCGGACGTGTGCATTTTTGCTCGGCGAGGAACATGGAGGAGCATCCTGGATGACTTAGCGAAAAAAGCACGCACGAAATCGAAAAATACACGAGGAATGGACGTCCGAGCGATGGCGAGACCTTGCCGTGGCATCCTTGGCCTGGGCGCGGACCCCGACGCCGCAGAGAACAGCGGCTGCCCCAGCGGGCTTTTCTGCAAGGGGATCTCCTGCGGATCGGCACAGCATCACCAGGTGGGCCGCCGCGCGCTCTCGCTGCCTCCTTGACTCCAGGCCTCCTGGATGGGGTGTTGCTAGAAGTACCCCTAGCCCAAGGTACCCCTAGGATTCTCGGGGTGGCCCAGACGGCCTCCAGGGCACCCCTCACGAGGCCCAGAGGGCCCCAGGGGCTCCAAAATGGAGCGAAAAGCTAGGGGCACCTTGGGCCAGGGGCACTTCTAGCAACACCGACCACTGGATGGGGTCGGAGCAGACAGGGTCGGAGCAGACAGGGTCGGATGGAAAAAAACAGAAATAAGACAGGGTCGGAGGATCGCGCCGCATTGCCGATGCATCACCGATGCGGCTCGATGTGGAGCCCGATTCGCTTCACGTCGTCGCCGATGCATCGTCGACGTCGACGCTGCATCGCAGGTGCATCGCCGATGCATCGCCGATACATCGCCGATGCGTCGTCGATGTGTCGGCGATGCGGCGCGATCCTCTGACCCCATCTACTCCGACCCCATCGAGGAGGCCTCTATTGACTGTGGAAGGCAGGGGCAGGGGACACGGAGCATATCAGGGAGAATCGAAGAAGGAAGATCGGAGTGAGTGTGTATCCCTAAATGTTGGGAGGGCAGCGCGGATCTCTCGGATCGGGTCAGCTGTAGCTGCTGTTTCGGAGAAGCTCTGCAGCAGCTCTGGCAATGGATGTAGGCTTCGGCGCTGACCTCAGACAGTTATAGCCGCCTTTGGATATGGAGTTTACCTAGCTGCACGTGCAGGTTGAGAATGAACTGTCGCGTGAGCCAGAGTTTGTCGCAGTTCTCATCTAAGCGCAAGCTAAGGATAGGTTTTGCTAATCTTCCGTTTCAGCGTTAGCGATCGGCTTTTTTTCAGGCTGCAGGCAGGCTTACTTTCAGCAGCACCGCGACACCGTGATACCGTCAGACCACGACGCCAAGACTACAACACCGCGACAACACCACGAAACCACTTCCCCGCGACACCACGCCACAACGGTATCGACACCCTACCGCCTCACGCCGGCAGCAGGGGGAGCGGCAAAACATTTTCTTCCGGAGGCATCTAGAGGCCACGGGCATTTGCGCCTTATTTCGCACGCGCGTCACGCACACCATAAGCAAGGAACCCTCCTTCAGGAGGGAAAGAAACACACAGACACAATTAATCGTCGATTCCCCAGAACATATAGGAAAATATGGGAAGTGGGGGGGACGACAAAAACCCAGAAAATATAGGGAAATATGGGGAATCTGTTTTATTTGTGTGTATTTATGTGTGTTTGTGGGCCCCTTCACTCCTGTCCGACGCGTAAGTATCGGTGTGGCTCTGGTCTCTAGTTGCAGCCCGTGCGTGGTTAGCAGGACCCCACGTGATCCCTTCCCTGGGCCCAATCAGTCGGCTCCCAGGGGTGAGTTGCTTGCCTTCATCGGGGCCATCCAGTATACGTCAAGTCCATGAATCCTCGTCACCGGTAGCGAAGGGGCGATGGTAGGATGGCATCGCAGGCGTTTTTGTTTCCTGCAGGGGATATAACGGGGCCAGCTGGGCAGGCTCCGTTCCTCCACGGTTGTTTATATCGTCACCGTCTTGCAGGTCGCTTCGCATCAAATAACGAGTGACCTAGTTCGTTCGAGGTCCCCTCAATGGCTTTTACTGGGCAAGTGGCTGACGAACTGGCGGCCCAGGCGGCTTCCGAAGCCAGGCTCGATGCCACCACGATGACTCGCGACCTTTTGGTGGAGCACAAGGCCAGGCTCGTACGTCGCCGATTGTTCAGAGCCAACCTTGAAGCTCTGCTGGAAGAGAAGAGGACACCCAAGCCCGAGGGCAATAAGGAACGCCGTCCGCCCACCTCTGCTGCTGCTTGTGCGCCCCTCGCCTCCCCCCCACGAAGGGGAATTCAAACCGTGAGTAGCTTTTCGCTTAACCGTGAGTGGCTTTTTGTTTGACCGTGAGTGATTGAGTGCACGCTGTGAGTGCACGCTGTGAGTGCACGCTGTGCGTGCACGCTGTGTTGAGTGCACGCCGTGAGTGCACGCTGTGAGTGCACGCTGTGTTGAGTGCGCGCTGTGAGCACACGCTGTGAGTGCACGCTGTGTTGAGTGAACGCTGTGAGTGCACGCTGTGTTGAGTGCACGCTGTGAGCCCACGCTGTGAGCCCATGCTGTGAGCCCACGCTGTGAGCCCACGCTCTGAGCCCACGCTCTGAGCCCACGCTGTGAGTCCACGCTGCGAGCCCACGCTGTAAGCCTACGCTGTGAGCCCACGCTGTGAGCACGCGCTGTGAGCCCTCGCTGTGAACCAACGCAACACACCACACGCAACACACCGCACACGCAACACAACATACGCGCAACACACTACACGCAACACACTGCACGCAACACACCACACGCAACACTCCGACACCACACGCAACACACCACACGCAACGCACCACACGCAACACACCACATGCAACACACCACACGCACGCGCCACGCCCGAGCAGGCGTGGCACCGGCGCCTCCGCGCCAAACGCCAGCAGGCCCGCCAGCTCCTGCGCGTGGCACGCGGCGCCGAGGCGCTTCTTCGACACCACGGGACCGCCCCTCCAGCCGCGCCGATGGCGCCGTCCGGAACCGACAAGAAGCCGTAATGGGGCTGCAGCAAGTGCGGCTTCGCTACCACTTGGACTTGCAAGCCCAAGTGCCACCAGTGCGGCAATGGCGCGCCGTACAAGGTGCTCGCCCGGCTTACTGGCGCGGGCCCCGGTGGCGGCACCGCCAACGCGGCGAAGCCCAAGCCGAAGGCGAAGGCTGTTGCTGCCTCTGGCACCGGCGGCGCCTCCGGCGAGGCGGCGAAGCTGCGGCAGCAGCTGGACGCCGCCAACCGCAAGCATGCGCAAGACCTCCAGAAGCTCAAGGGCGAGCTGGCGGAGCTGCGGAAGGCCCGCGCTCCCGGCGGCCACCAGGCGGAGGCTGCAGCTGGCGGCATGGACGTCGATGGCGACGGCGAGCTTGACAAAGCGGTCGCTTCGGCCCGCGACCGGCTCAAGAAGGCCCAGAGCATGCCGGCGGAGCTGCGCGACCTGGTGGCCGGGGGCTACGAGGCTTGCATCGCGAAGCTCCAGACCGCCCTCACTGACGCGCAGGCTGCGCGGCGGGCCGCGAACCCACTCAGCAAGCAGCTGGAGGTGGCGGAGGCCCATAAGGCGCGCATGGCCAAGAAGCTCACAGACGCCCAGGCAGCGTTGCAGGCTCGGGAGGCGGAGCAGGAGGAGCTCGTCAAAAAGATCCAGTCGCAGCGTGTGGCTGTTGCCGAGGCCGAGGCCGCAGCGGCCAAGGCCACTGCGGAGGTCGCCGCACTGGCAGCCCAGTGCGCCTCGGAGAGGGCGCCCGCCGCTGCGGCCGCGCCTGCACCTGCTGAGCCGGCCGCCGCGCGGCTCCTGGCCGCAGCCCGGGCTGGCTACGTCTCCGTCGCGTTCGCTGAGGAGAAGTGGCGAGAGCGCGAGACGCACTTCGAGCAGCAATTGGCGCACCTTCAGGCGCTGGTGGCCACTGGTGGCCGCTCAGACCGCCGAGGCTGCCAGTGCAGCCTCAGAAGGGGCCCCCAGCGTGGCCGACGACCTCGCTCCATCGACGACCTTCCGGGAGATGACGAGAAGTGGAGCCGGGTCAGCCGCCCTAAGCGGAAAGCGCTCCTCCGCAGGGAGCGCGATGCCCTGGCGGGCAAGATCCGGACGAGTTTGGGCAAGGTGTCCACCGTGTCGTCGCCCTTCGTCAAGAAGTAGGCGGCACGCCCTGTGGCTGAGCCTTGTCCTCCTCTTCGCGGCCGTCGTCCGCATTGGCGAGGCCACTCATCCAGGGCCGATCGCTGGGTCCGTCGTTGACGAGCCCGATTGCGCCTCCCTCTGCGACGACAGGGATTTCGACGCCGCCGTCGATAACGCTGCCTCGGAGGCTGGCGCAGCGGCGGGCTCCTCGAGGCATTTGGGGACCTCCCCAGAGGGTCCCCCAGCGCTCGGCGGCGGCAGCCCCTGGGAAGATGGAGCCCCGGGCCGTCTTCCCACCGCCGAGGCGGGCGCTCCCGACGCGAGCCGCCCGTCACTCCCGCCTGCCGCTGGAGGGGCGCGCTGCGCTGCGCCCGCAGGCGGCAGCCCCTGGGAAGACGGAGCCCCGCGCCGTCTTCCCACCGCCAGTGCGGGCGCCCCCGACGCTGCGCCTGCAGGCGGCGGCGCCGGCATCGATAATGACGAGTGGGATTTTGACGCCGCCGTCGACGAACAGGCCTCCTGGGAAGATGGCGCACCGGGCCGTCTTCCCGCCCCGGGCGCGGCGCTGGATGGTGAGTGGGATTTCGATGCGGCCGTCGCGGAGGCCACCTCTGCCCCGGCGGACGGCGTGGACCCCTTCCCTGGGCCTCCAGACGTTCCAGCTGCCACCCGCGTGGTCCAGGGGGCCGCCCCTATCTTCGACGTGCCCTTCGCGGCTGGTCAGCTGACCGCGCGGCGACAGGCGGAGCAGATAATGAGTGTCGGTCCGCCACCTCGTGCCATTCACCGGGGGCGCCGTGGACGTCCTGCTGATCTGAGTGACGCCGACTTTGGCCCCGAGGTCGTCACTGTTCCGGCCGCTCAGTTCTGCGGCTCCCACCTGGGCTTCTTCTATGGCATCTCCCGGGGCAGTCTCGGCTATCATCGGACCGTGGTGGCCCCCTCCAGCAGCCGCCTGCTGCTGCAGCCGCTGGCAGGCCGCTGGACTCGGCGGTGCACGCGATCTCCCTTGGAGCCTTGATTGATTGGCAGCCGCAGGCTGCTTGCGACCACCATCGCCGCGCCCGCCGGCGTCGCGCCCCCGATGGCCGCTGCCTTCGCCCTGGCCGACGCGCCGACGCTTCCGGGGGCGACGTCCCCCATGTGCCTGCGCAGGTCGGAATCGAGGACACGCATCTCCGCGCCCGTGGGGCGTGGACAATCGACACGGCCAATGCCAACTGTTGGGATACATGCCTCGACAAGGTCTTCC